CCCCCCCCTCCGTCTACAGTCCCACCTCACAAAGACCTGACGTCCAGTATTGGATAAGAAAAATCAGGAGTGATCTGAAAGTCCACTGTGGACCAGAGTAGTTCAGGGGTGCAGGAGGCCCAATAAAACCACATCCTACAAAATTTGTCTTGTGTTCCCTTACCCAAGGAAGTAAGGTCCTCCATACGCCGTTTCTCATTTACTTTGTGCAACCAAAGGGCAATAGATGGGGCACGGGGCTGTTTCCATGTATCAGAGATACAGCTTCTAGCCGCATTAATCAAATGTGGGCTGTTTCCATGTATCCGAGATACAGCTTCTAGCTGCATTAATCAAATGTGGGAGGACAGACATTTTTTGATTATTAATGTGTTTCAAATGTAACATTTTTATCGAGCAGCTTAACTTCAATATTCTGGATCTCATTTGTGTGTTTGACATCATTCTGATAAAACGCTTAGATCGCAGTAGTGGCTTGTCTAATGGATGCATTCTATTCTGCAGGGACTGTGGATAAAATACATTTACAAGTTTAGAGAGTGCAATGTCTCCATGCCACAGATGACCTTGAGTGTTGTAGGTGTTTTCCAGGGTAAAAGCCGCTGGTCTACTGAGCCTAGAGTAATGTAAATAAATTGTAGAAACCATGTATCTACATCTTTTATCTAGCTTTTATCAATTTAATAGCTCACAACTGTGATTGGTTGCAAAGGTCTGATTGACATGACTAGGTAGTACTTGTTTAAAGTAAATCCTAGACGTTTTTAATCTTAATGCATTCTCTACATTGAGGTAAAAAACGCCCAGTATCTTTCCATGCCCCCTGTCCCCAAACACTTATCTATGGTCCCTTGTCACCTCCACCGGGTTCAGGAAGATCTGTGCTGTTCCCCAAACTTCTGGGTTGTGCAGGAGGGTACTAAGGGCAGTGGAGCGATAGGCTTTTTGCTGCCAACAAACTGGTGGGAGGAGAGGGGTGTAAGGGAGCGGGGGTGTAGTTTGCCAAATGCTGTATGTGTCTATGGGCGGACATGCACGGGTATCTCTTCAGCAGCCATTTAGCTAAAGGATACACCAGCAAACATGCAGGGGGACAGGGGTTTACAAAGTAGACACCCTAAGGTGATACTGATATTTTGAACA